TTATGAGGAAATATGTAGCCACATTGACTTGACTGCCCCGATTAGCAAGTTGTGGAATAGCTTACATGACTTTGAATTAGATATTTGCACGGAGTTGTATGGTGAGTGAAGTTTACAATTAAAGGAGAGAAGAAAAAAAATCTACAAACTTATCATTCTAATGCTTTGTGCTTTCTATTTTGTTTCTTCATAAATCATTTAACTAGTCTTGCTGCTCAATTTTATAGTTTTAGAGCAATAAATCATAAGAGAAATGGTAGTTGGGAGGCGACGGTATACTGTCTACTTTCTTGCTACCTTTCTAGCTCTGTTAAAAACATCATTGCTTCTAGCAAATGGTGAAGCTGTTGATTATCCATCAATTGCGAAGCCTCCAGGCACTTGGATTAACAACGTCTCAAACTACTCTAGTTGGGACTTGACACTGAAACCTATTTTGGTCAATGGGGATTTTGTTTGTGGCTTCCACTGCAAAGTTGAAGAAAACAACACCTGCCTCTTTGCTATCTCCATCTTCAATTTCACTTCCATCTCTTACATGGATTCACAAATCGTATGGTCAGCTAATCGAAACAATCCAGTTGGACGTGGGGCACAATTGCAACTTTCCCAACAAGGGGATTTAACGCTGCAAAATGTTGATAGCACTCGGATTTGGTCTACAAACACAACAGGTAAATCTGTTTCGGGTTTGAAGTTAACTGATCAGGGTAACCTTATGCTGTTTGATAGAAACAATAAGACAGTTTGGCAGTCTTTTGATCATCCAACAGACTCTTTAGTTCTCGGACAGAGACTAGTTTCTGGGCAGAAATTGGTGGCAAGTATGTCTGACACAAATTGGAGTGAGGGTTTATATTCATTTTCAATTGATAATAATGGTTATTTTGTTGCTTCGGCGGATTTAGATGCTACCATAGTGTATTACAAATCCAACAAGTCTCAATTAAGAAGCCAAACGGGGCAGTTTTATGCTGAGCTCACTAACACAAGTTTTGGTGTTGGTCTTTCTCCAAGATATGGAGTTAGTTTTATACAACTGGGCTTTCATGGGCACTTTATCTGCTTCTCCTGGACTGGAAGAGATTGGCTGACGGATGATTTGTTTGAGAACCAAGTCCATGAATGTGATTATCCATTGGCATGCGGAAATTATGGAATTTGTTCAGCACAAGGATGCAGTTGCCCAACTTACTTCAGGCAGAGAGAGTCTTTTCTTCCAGGTTATTTTTATTCCCAGTTTAATACATGTCTTCCATATTTTCCAGTATCATGTGAGTTTCCTTACCAACACAGTCTTATTGAGCTTAAGAATGTTGATTATGTTCTTGGAGTTAATTATCACATAACAGACACCGACAGCTGCAAGCAAGCCTGTTTAAAGAACTGTTCTTGCAACTATGTTGTTTTCCAACCTAATAGTAATCCCTCATCATCTGGAAGGTGCTTTTTAAGATCTAAAGCTTTTTCATTCAAGAAAGTGAATCCAGATAACTATCAATCTGTGTTTATAAAGGTGCAGAGTTCAATTGTGAAGCCTCCTGTCTCTTACTCTAACATCATCTCAAACTCTAGTTGGGTATCAGAAGAGTTGATACTGGAACCCATCTTTGTCAATGGGAATTTTGTTTGTGGCTTCCACTGCAAATTAAAAGAAGACAACACCTGCCTCTTTGCCATCTCCATCTTCCATTCCAATTACTCCCACCTCGATTTCAACTATTCTGTGAATTTAAAAATGGTATGGTCTGCTAATCGAAACAATCCTGTTGGACATGGGGCGACATTGCAACTTTCCCAGCAAGGGGATCTAACACTGCAAGATGTTAATGGCACTCTAGTTTGGTCTACCAAAACAACAGGTAAATCTGTTTCTGGGTTGAAGTTAACTGATCAGGGTAACCTTCTGCTGTTTGATGGAAACAATAAGATGGTTTGGCAGTCTTTTGATCATCCAACAGATTGTTTAGTTTTTGGTCAGAGTCTAGT